GTCTCTCTCTCTCTCTCTCTCTCTCTCTCTCTCTCTCTCTCTCTCTCTCTCTCTCTCTCTCTCTCTCTCTCTCTCTCTCTCTCTCTCTCTCTCACCTTCCTACAACAAACCACCCAGTGTCTACAGACGTTGCTTCTCTTCTCTGTATCTCACGTTTTTCAATAAACCACGCCGTGTCTCTGGACATTGTCTCTCTCACCTTCCTCTCTGTTTCTCGCCATTCTGTCTGCTAGTGTTGTTTTGGTTACAAGGAAGGTCTCCATTTTCAGTTGTCATCTAGTGTTAGGACCTCCCCTTCCTCTCTTGCCTGTAAGCTTTGCTTGCTGAATAGTATTTTCGAGTGACTTATGGCTTCTGGTATGTCCAAAGTAGTTCACGTTTAGTTTCAATAAGCTCTGGGGGAAACCTGGCTCATATAACCTTTTGCAGTTGCGAGCGCCGTAAAACACTTACCAAAACACGAAAAACTCTTTGAGGAGTGTTGGTGTTTCTATACTATACCTAGATCTATTCTACTTATTAATTGTTCGTAAAATATTTCCTGTGTCCATGATATTCCTACAGTTTTTCTATGGTATTTAATTTCGAATGCCTCAATCTCTTTTAATTTGTGTTCCTTGATAGTTCATACTTCACACTCATATATTATTGCTTTTTGGCATGTTATGGTACTTTTTAGAATTTTTATTTTTGCATCTACCCCCCCCCCCCCCCCCCCCCCCCCGATAAATGCCGACTTTTTCGATTATAATGTTATCTGTTGTATGTGTCTGTCTGGTATTTATGTTTACTGGTGAGTACAGGTCAGCGAGTTTTTTCTGAAGTATGACAAACATGTCTTGCTCAAGGACACGCTATAGGACACGTCTTACGTACGGCAATTATCACTCCGCACTGCTCAAGGCTGATGATTCTATCAATGATAGACAAGATAATGATGATTTGTTATCCCCGCTCGCAACCACAAGGGTCAGAGAGTGCAGCTGTATCTATGTAGGAGACCGGCAGGGTATGTCGCTTGGTAGGTCCAAGCTCTCCACCGTCGATAGCAGCGACGACAGTCAAGGACACCAATGACTTGTTTCATTTCCTGCCTGATTACGAAAAAAACCCAACATGATTAACCCGATCCGAATGTCGTGTTTTACTATCGTATCCATATGACGTGGGGAACTCTGTGCCACCACTTGCCAAAGAGGAAATTTACTCGTTGATCCGATTCGTACGCTTTGCGTAGCAGTCTGTCAAACATGATTTTTTAAAAGAAATACTGAACATTTCAAGGAGACCTTCGTACTAGAAGTATTCTAAAATGTGAAGAATACAACCCGGTGGTACAAAATGACCACATGGCGTACTGATAGGGTTAAGGAGTTCGATATGTTCATAGAAAGATGAAAGAGGCTTCTTAATCTATGAATTGCCTACGATGTGTGATGGGTTATCGCAGGTGTATGTGAAAATTATTTTGTTTTGTTTGATCTTTTCCCGTCCTTCTACGTTTAATTGTTGTAAATGGCGTTCACGAAAGTGTCTTACCGCAATAAAAAAAATGACGAAACAGACCGGGAAAACAGACAATGTCGTCGATGTCCGACTCTAACAGTATATGTTTATGAATAGTAATTAATGTTAAGAAATTATGTGGGGGGAAATCAATTTTCTCTAAATATATACCCAAATTTCACAAAGTTTCGTGAAAAGTGTTCTTTATTAACATTATACAGACATCAACGTAAGTTAATTGCAAACTCTCTGAATGGTCCTCTTGGGTCGGCCTGCACGTGGGTGTTCTTGGACTGACCCAGTGGCTTGATGGTGCTGCCTCAAGCGGACAATGACAGAGTGTTACACTGCAAGCCTTCTGGTAACTTCTCGGGCTCCAACTCCATCCTGCAGCTATGCCATAGCTCTGGCAGGATCAAAGTCTCTCAGCTTTCGTCTTGGTGGTATGTTGATGCGATACAGGATTTTGCGCAAACGGCGCCTTATATGCAACCAAAGTGAGCACAGTTCGAGACCGTACGTCCGTTTATGACGTGCACCAGAAATTTTAACTGAGGAATGTCCCTGGTGTCGCACACAAGTCAATAAAAAACAGCTAATTTGGCCTAAATTCCCCGAAGATTTCCGTGCTCCAAGTGGTGGTTTTGGTCCTTTAGGAGGTTTTGCAGTACGCGTTGGTATCCCATTAACATTTTCAGAGCAAAGGTTTTGAAACCATTCTTGCTGTCTTTTTGTTGGAAGTTTTAAAAAATCAGGGCTGTCTGTCAGGGTGGTCCTTAACTCTTGTTGAAGTCTGTAGTATCGCCAATTGTAAATGGCACAGCTTGAGACCTCAACGTTCTCGGCCTAACGTGAGGGAGACACTGTTGTAGTCAACTCCAAAAAAATATGATGCACCAGTTGTAGAGGTCCTAGTTGGTGCAGTGGCAGAGCGGTTAGTGCGCTCGTCTCCGAAGCGGAAAGTCCGGGTTTGAGCCTCGGTTCGGACATGGAT